TGTCCGGAACCTGCGGGCAGCGGGACCGGGACCGTGGGGGGGGGGTGGCGGGGGCGGGGGAGCTCGTGCGTCCCCTCCCCTCGGCGCAGACCTCACCCAAGCCCCCAGCTCAGGTTCATCCGTGGCCTGTGCGGTGGCTCCAACGCCAGGATCCTGTTCCTGGAGACCACCTGGCGGGTTGGAGGTGGGGCAGGGCCGGGATGGCCCCCGGGCCCAAATAGCGGAACATGCAAAAGGACTGACATTTGGGCCAGGGAGAGGACGGGGTGAGGTGCTCACCCGCTAAGGTTCCTGGAGCCCCACCAAGAGTGGCCCCTGAGTGCCCAGGCGTGGCCGGAAGTTAGAGCCGCAGGTGAGTGGCCACCTGCGCTGAGGCTCCCAGAGGGCACCGCGGGCTCGCGGGGGGCAGGGCGGCTGGACAGTGGGGCCCGGGTGCTGGGGGGTAGGACACCCTGGCCAGGAGATGCGGGGTCAGGGTCCTCGGGGACCTTGATCAGACAGGGCCTCGGTGCCACTTAGCTTCGGCTTTTCTTGGGGTTCAGAGGAGGCTCTGCAAGAGGGTGGAAGTGAGGCTCTTCCTGGGCCGCTGGGGTGCAACTTCCTGCTGACACTTCCTGGCTCACAGTCCCTGCCCAGCTCTACGCAGAGGGCGTGTGGGCCGCCCTGGCCAGCGACCACGACAGTGACCACTTCACCCCGGAGGCCCGCCAGCAGGGGTGGAGACTGGGCAGGTGGGAGGCAGGTGGGGGGACAGGTGGGGAGCACGTCATTCCAGGGGCCACAGCGTACAGAGAGAACTGCCCCCGACCTTGACCTCTGACCGGTGCGGCCTCTCCCAGCCTTCCCAGAGGCCTGGTGGGCAGCTCACCGCGGCCTCCTCTGTGGGGCAGGGGACAGCCTTGACCCTGCTTCTGGTCCCCCGAGTCCAAGGCAGCCATGGACAGGGAGGGGAGACCCTGCTGTCATGACGCAGCCCCTGCCCAGCAGTGCCCGGCGTCCAGGGGGTCTGTCCCGGGAGGAGCTCGGCGCTGGTCTGCAGCACAGAGGGGCCCGGCACCTGGAGGAGCTGGGGTGGCCCGTCCCAGCCGCAGGAGGCTGCCGTGGACAGCGCTGCCCTCTGCTGGCAGGAGCGCGATAGCGCCCCAGAAGCCACAGCCGAAGGCGAGGAAAACTTGGGGCCCAGTTCCCTGGGACCCTACTGCCACACCCCAGTCTGCCCCCCACAAGGCCATGCTCCACCCCTTGGACACCCACGTGTCCCCCCCAGACACACTCAAGCCACAGCCACATGACTCGGAATGCGGTCAGTTTGGAATGGGGTTCCTGTGGAAGGCGGTTCAGGCTGAGGTCTGGCCAGCCCAACTCTCCAGCAGGGAGGACACCGGGGGAGGCTGGGGCCCCCACCTCGGGGGTCTGGCCTCCAGGCTGGGGGCGAGGGCACTGCTCACCTGCCCTCAGCCCTTCCTGTCCAGGCAACAGTCGGGCGCCGAGATGCCCGTCCCTCCAGTGGGCCTGGCCCATTGCCCAGAGCCCTTCACCCATGCTTGGGCCCCCAACCCCGAGACAGAAACGCCAGCCTGGACCCTTCAGGAGTTTGTGTTGGGGCCTGGCCCAGTGACCCCCTGTGCCCACAGTGCCCCGGTCCCTCCCATTACCCATCCATGGGCCTTCCAGACCTTGGCCTGCACCCCGCGCTCCCCATCACTATCCTCACGTGGGGCTTGGTGTGGAGAGGATCCCTGGGCCCCTAGGCGCCGCATCCTGGGGCGAGTCTAGACCCGTCCGGGTCACCCTTGCAGACAGGCACGGGCCCCAGTTCTCGTTACCGCTGTCACTTGCAGGCACCCCAGCGCACACTCCAGACGCACCCCGCCTACACCACAGGCTACACCTATCTACCCCCCCCCCCACTGCTGCCCTCACCCTGCCTGCCCCACCCACCGCCCACACCCATCTGCAGCCGCCTACACTCACCGTACCCGGCTGCCCCTGCCCACAGTCCCATCTCCCCATCTACACACTAGACGGGTCTGCGTCCCTGCTATGCCCCCTTCTGCCCAACCCGCCCCGGGCTTCTCCCCCCAGTGCACAAGCTACTCCTGCTCCTACAAGCGTCTGGCAGCTCAGGGGCCCCAGCCTGAAAACCATCTCGCTTGCCAAGCCCCGTGCCCGCTCCTCACCCACCCTATCCACTGTACCCAGACCGTCCAGGGTCCTCTAGCACTCTCGTCTCCCCACACTGTCCTCTGCACCCTCCCCCCGGGGTCCAGGCACAGTAACTAGCCCTGCGCCGGGCTGGGTGGACACAGACAGGCCCAGGGCTGCTGCTCCGGGTACCGCAGCCTCCACGGGGCGGGCAGGGGCGCATGTCCTGGGTGCAGCTCCCCACTCTGCCTGCCTTCTTGGGGGGCTGCAGCAGAGCCCAGCTCTTTCTGGGTTTTGTCCAGGGGCCGCGGGTGTCTGTGTGGACAGAAGCAAGAGCCCGGCTTCCGGGAGCCATCACTGGGGGCTCCCTTGGAGGAAAGGAAGAGGGAGTGAAAGCACCCCAGCCCTATGCCAGCACCGCGGGCATGGGGGGCCAGAGGAGAGGGGCTCCTCCCCAGGCCTGTCCGCAGCGCTCTGGACAGCCAGGAGACCTTGGCACATGCCGCTGGAGTCCACGCTGGCTAGGCTTCAGGGTCTTGGGATGGTGCCGGGAAGAGGAAGGGAATGGAGAATTGGGCATCTCTGAGGGACGTGAGCAAAAGTGACGGTGACGTCTGTGATTGAGACGCCACAACTCAGTTATTTCTAGTTGAGCTTCAGGTGTTGAGGGTTCCAGCAGCACCCCCCCCCCCGCCACTGCCACCTTCCTCCCCGCCCTCTCCCTGGGGGGCATCCTGTCAGCCTGGGGTCCCTGAGTCTCCTGTTCTGTTGCCCGAGCACTGAGCACTGAGCCCTGCCTGCCACCACCCCCCAAGTTGCTGGTCTGGGGTTTCTCCCAGGGGCTGGTTGAAGGAAAAGAATTTTGGCACTCTTCTTCCCAATTCCCACTTCGGGGCCCCTCGTTCCTGTTGAAGGTTCTCCTCTCTTCGGGGTGCCGCCTCTGGGGCTGGCGTGGTTGCCTGCGCCCTCCAGTCTTCACTACATCTCCAGAGGGGGGTCACCTCCATCCATTTGGTGGGGAGGAGCCACACCCAGTGGTACTCAGAGGTGACTCCTGGCTCTGTGCTCAGGGGTCACTCCTGGTGGTGTTGGGGGCTGGGATTGAAGTGGGTGCCTACATGCAAGAAAAGCACCTCGCCCCTCTGACACTCTGGCCCCCTGCCTGCGTGCTTCTGGGACAGTGTTCGCGACAATGACAGAAGAACTTCAGGTCACTTCTTGGTTTTATGACTGCCAAAATTCACTGCCCGGGCCTATCCACGTGCCCGCCTAGTTCCAGATCCTGGAGACGAGGTGAAGGGGCTGGTGCTACTGAACATCATGCACAATAGGACATAGATGAGGCAAAGACACAGGTGTAGACATGGATACACACACAGAAACACGCATATACAGATACACGCAGAGGTACAGAGATACACACACAAAGAACCCAGCACACAGCAATGACTAAATGATGAGCAGGGACAAAGGGGAGTGGAGGGTCTCTCCAAAGCGCCCGAAACGGACTGGGGGAGAATGGGCACTCAGGCCTGAGACAAGAGGCTCGCCAGGGAGGTGTGCAGGGAGCCACCTTGCGCCCCAAAGAGGAAGGAAGAGGGGTTGCACCAGAGAAAGTCCCTCCCACAGAGTGTGCTGCCAAGAGGGGGAGTGAATGCTCCCATGGAGTGCTGCTAAGGGCAGGAGAGTGCTCCCAGGGGTCCTGCAAGGGCGGGAGAGTGTTCCCAGGGATTCTGCAAGGGCAGGAGAGTGCTCCCAGGGGTCCTGCAAGGGCGGGAGAGTGTTCCCAGGGATTCTGCAAGGGCAGGAGAGTGCTCCCAGGGCTCCTGCAAGGACAGGAGAGTGTTCCCAGGGATTCCGCAAGGGCAGGAGAGTGCTCCCAGGAGTGCAGCTGAGAGCAGGAAAGCAGGAGAGTGCTCCCAGGAGTGCAGCCAAGAGCGGGAGAGCAGGAATGCTCCCAAGGGTGCAGCCGAGAGCAGGAGAGTGCTCTCAGGGGTTCCGCAAGGGTGGGAGAGTGCTCCCCCCGGTGGCGGCTGAGAGCAGGAGAGTGCTCCCAGGGCCTACAGAGCGGCCACTTGGGCGGAGCCCAGAACGGGCAGGCGCAGGCAATGTCCAAGGACCTGTGCGAGGATGTGCGTCCTGCGCCGTTTCTATCCACCGCAGCCAGGGCAGAGTGGCCGCAGCGCCCGGGGCCCCTGTACTAAGGAAGCGTCCAGGGGTCAGTGCCACCCGCTGGACCCTCGCTGCCCCTGAGACTGCGCTGGGCACCGGGAGCACATGCGGTGGTCGCCCGGAATAAAGGGCAGTGTCCGGGGGTGTGGGGACTGAGGCAGGCGGGCGGGCGTCCAGGGGCGAGGACGGTCGCGTCTGGGAAGGGGCGCTGTCCAGCCCGGTGACCGGCTGGGAGGCCTAGGCGGTGACCGGCGGCTTCCAGGTGGCTGTAGCGCAGAAGCGGGGACGCGGGCAGCGGGACGGTGACCCGGGCGTAAGCCCGACCCTATTCCGGAGGCCGCTGCCCTCAACAGGAGGCGAGCCGAGGCGCTGGTGGTGGGCCGCGGGGTCTAGGCCAGCGCCGCCCCCGCCCACCGCGCAGCGCCGGTGTCTCCCCGGCAACCGCGCTCTCGCCCCGCCCCTCCCTCAGGCAAACAGGAAGTGGAAATGGGCGTGGCTTGGCGGCCGCTTCCGGCGCGGAGAGGGGCGGGGGCGATTGTGACCGGCGGCGGGGCGGGACCAATCGCGGAAGGCGGCGGAGGCACGGGCCAATGTTGAGGGCCGGAGGGCGCGCGCGGGGGCGGGCCCGGGGCGGGGGCTCCGGAGCGGAGCCAATCGCGGCGGCCTGGGGGCGGGGCGGGGGCCGGGAGGCGGCGCGGACGGTGGCCGCGTCGGGGCGCGGGTCGGGGCCGGCGGCGGTCGCGGCGATGCTGCAGCTGCGGGACTCGGTGGACTCGGCGGGCACGAGCCCCACGGCGCTCCTGGCGGCCGACGAGGAGGTCGGGGCGGCCGGGCTGCGGCCGGGGGCGGGCACGCCGCAGCGCCAGACGCTGTGGCCGCTCAGCGTCCACGACCCCACCCGCCGCGCCCGGGTCAAGGAGTATTTTGTGTTCCGGGTAGGGCGGGGCGGGCCGGGGAGGGGCCGGGGGGCCGGGGGGGGGGGGGCGGGGGCGCCCCGCGTGGACGCGTCGTGACCGACCCTCGCGCCCCCGCCCAGCCCGGGACCATCGAGCAGGCGGTGGAGGAGATCCGCGTGGTGGTCCGGCCCGTGGAGGACGGCGACATCCAGGGCGTGTGGCTGCTGACCGAGTAAGCGGGGGTCCCGGGGTCCGCGGCCCCCGCGCCGCCGGCCCCACGCTCACCGCCGCCCTCGCGCAGGGTCGACCACTGGAACAACGAGAAGGAGCGGCTGGTGCTGGTCACCGACCGGGCGCTGCTCATCTGCAAGTACGACTTCATCAGCCTGCAGTGCGAGCAGGTGGTCAGGGTTGCGCTGGACGCCGTGGACACCATCTCCTTCGGGGAGTTCCAGTTCCCCCCCAAGTCACTCAACAAGTAAGCCCGTGGGCCCGGTGCGCGGTGGGTCCGTCCCCGCGGACCGGGAGCTGGCCGGGCCCCTCGCAGAGGGCCGACGCCGGCAGGGTGACAGATGCCAGCCCCTGCCTGGGCTGGGCAGTGCCCGCTTACGGGCACTCTGGTTCTTGGTTGTTTTTATTTCTTAAGAGAAAGAACAGCACCCTTTGAATTTTCAGATGTCACAGCATAGCTGGTAAGTTAAAAGACGTCCGTGGTCAACTGTCAAGAAAATGCAGGGGAGAGGCTGGAGTGATAGCACAGTGGGAGGGCGTCTGCCTTGCAGTGGCTGAATATGGTCCCCCGAGTACCTCCAGGAGTAATTCCTGAGTGCAGAACCAGGAGAAACCCCTGAGCATCATCATGTGTGACCTAAAAAGCAAAAAAATTTAAAAAAATTTTATAAAATGCAGGGGAATTTTCTGAAGTGCAAGAGAGCTGGGAGTTCATAATATGGATTAAATAGTTGAGCTTAATGGTCCGTTCCAGAGTTTGGGGTCTTGGGTTGGAATCCAGGTGTAGAGGGCCTGGGGGCAGCAGGGACCCACTCTGGGTTTCATCTGGAACCCCCAAACCAAAAACTGCAGCAGCGTGGCCGGGTGAGTGTCAGCTGCACCTGGTCACGGCGCCAAGGCTGGGCTGCCTCCTCAGTGTGGCCTGTGCAGAGAAGGCAAGGACAGGGGGACACAGCACCCCCGCCTCTCCTCACAGCTTGGCCGCCTTCTCCCCCTCAGGCGAGAAGGATTTGGGCTTCGTGTCCAGTGGGACAAGCAGAGCCGTGCCTCGTTCCTGAACAGGTGGAACCCCTGGTCCACCAATGTGCCCTATGCCACCTTCATTGAGCACCCGATGGCTGGCGCTGACGAGAAGACGGCGTCCCTGTGCCAGGTGAGGGGTCGCCTGAACTCACTGTGGCTAGTCAACCCCCAGGCCAGTAGCTGAAGAATGCTGGAGTGGCTGTACCCTGTGGCCAGTGGTGTCTGATCAGCCAGCTCTACTGTGGCCTCCCTTCCTCGCGGCTCGGGCCAGGAGGGTGTGCGTGCTTGCCTGCTCTTGGCCTTGCTCACGTGGCCTTGGGGGTGCTGAAGGCAGTGGGGGGGGACAGCTGGAGGCGAGGAGGGGTCCAGGGGCGCGCGGGCGGGTGTGGGGCTTTCCCTGGGGGTCCTGACAGGCCCCTGTTTCTCTAGCTGGAGGGTTTCAAAGCGCTGCTGATCCAGGCAGTGAAGAAGGCGCAGAAGGAGAGTCCGGCGGGTGGCCAGGCCGTGAGCGTGCTGGTGCTGGAGCGGCCGCTGCTGATCGAGACCTACGTGGGGCTCATGTCCTTCATCAACAACGAGGCCAAGCTGGGCTACTCCATGACCCGCGGCAAGATCGGCTTCTAGGGCCCCGGAATCGCGGCCCCTGCCTGGCTACAGGCCAGCGGGCCAAGTGCCCCTGGGCAGAGGGCCTGGCGCCTGGCTGGACGCACCCCCAGATGCTCTGCTTCGCGCCCTCCCGACCCGCCTCCTCGCATGGGCCCACTCCCTGTGCTCCCAGGGCGCCCGCACTCCGGCCTGCGGCCATGTCCACTAACTGCCCGGCTCATTTTGTACCCAAAGTTCCGTCTCTGTGAAGCTGGTTCAGAGGCAGCGGCAGGCCGGGCAGGGCCATCTGCTCATCAGCTGGGCACCGAGTCGCTTCTGTAAATGGGCGTTTGACCCAAGTCCTGCTTCTCAGAAATGAGTCTCTATCGTGTTCAGCCCTAGTGTCTGCAGATGGTCCCAAGGCCTGTGTGGTTGGGGACAGTCGTTCTGACAAGCGGTGCCAGGGGTGGGAACTCTGGGGAGAGCAGGTCTCAGGTGGCCCATGGGCTCCACGGACCCCGACTCCCTAGCTGCCCGGGGCCCTGTCAGTGCACAAGCTGCTCCAGGCGCGTTTAGCTGTGGGGTGCTTCCTGGGCCCAGGCAGGACCCACATGTACTGGCCACACCCCCAGGCTGCCAGGGTGCTGAGCCCCACGGTGCTCGGTGGGCTTGTAAACACATTCACAAATTGACGGGTGTGGGCACAGGTGCAAGCCCAGCCGAGCACTGCACGGGGCAAGTGCAGCACGTGGACAGTTCCTGGGATGCCGCCCCCTCGTGTGTGCAGTGACCAGGGCCCGGTGGCTTCCTTTCACAGCTGGCTTTGCACTGGCCCGTGGGCCTGGGTCTGGGTCCCTGGTCCTCCTGGCGGGCCGCTCAGCCCTGACTGCTGGCCCAGACCTGCCTTGTGGCCCACGGGGAGGGTAGCCGCTGGTCATTCCCCCAAGGCCACCCACACTCCTGAAGCCTGCCCCCCCCCCAGACACCCCCAGAGACCTCAAACCATACCTCGGACACCACGCCCAAAAAATCGGCCAATATTTATTTGTAGTAACAAAACAAGCTGTACATATTTACAGACGTGCCTGGCCCGGGAGGCCACACCTACATGTGCTTCCCTGCGGCCATGCCGATGCCCTCCTGCTCCAGGAAGCACAGGCAGAAATGGTCCTTGCCGAGGAGGGCCAGGGAGTCCCCCGAGCGGTGCCAGCACATGGAGAGTACCTGGAAGTCTCCTGCAGGGACAGGCGGGTCAGCGGGTAGCAGTGAGGGTGGGTGAGCCCTGGCCCCGACTCGCAGGCTTACCTTCACCAGGCACCTGTACCGACACACAGCCGGCAGGTGACCACAGGTATACTCTGGCCCCACCTGTGCACACAGCCAGCCGCGGCTGCCGGGGGTCCCACAGGAAGGAGCGCACGGGGGCCAGCTGCTCCAGCACCGCGAACAGCCTCAGCTTCTGCACATCCCAGATCCATACGGCATGCGGCATGTTGTCTGGAGGCGGCGCAAAGTCAGGGCGATTCCTGCTCCGCAGCCTCCGCCCGGCCCTGTCCATAGGCCCGGGTGCCCGCACTGACCATTCCTCGTTGCCAGGAAGTAGTTGTCGGGACTGAAGGCCAGCAGGCCCACGCCGATCTTGGGGTTTGCTCTGTCAGCCACGGGCTTCAGAGTCTGGAGGGAGACGGGCACCGAGGCGATCTCATCTGGAACGTCATTGGGGCGGGCGGGGTGGGCAGCCTTAGCAAGCACTGAGGGACGCCTTTGTCCCATGTCAGGGGAGCCAGGCCTCGGTGCGGGGAACGCCGTCAGTGACGAGCCTGGCAGCGGGCCTGCAGCCGCCCCCACCCGCAAGCAGCTGCTGAGCCACTGGGACCCCGTCCTCACTGTCCCGGAGCAGCCCCGCCATGGCCTCTGAAACTAATGGGGGTCTGTCCAGCTTGCATGACAGCGCAGTGACCTCACCACACGGCTAGTCAGCTGTGACTGGGGCTGCCCGCTCGGGCTTGTGCTCACATTTGCTCTCCACAGAGGCTCCGCGTGGAGGGAGGGGGCGCTGGCCCAGCGGCACACGGGGGCTCTTCTCGGCTTCCTTGTACACGACCTGGACGACACCATAGCAGCTGCCACTGCGAGGTAGCACTGGCCACCACCACCACCACCCGCAGGGTTGAGGCTGGCTGGCCTGAGGTGAGGGACACACACCCGGTGCCTGCAGTGCCGAGGCCCGGGGCATGGGCCATCAGCTATGTAGCCAGGGTGACACATGAGAGCAGTGACAGTGAACAGGCGGCTGTGACCAGAAGTCAGGTGCAGGGATAGGCGGGAGCTAAGGAGGCCATGGCCTACCGGGCACTTAGATCTCCCACCGTCCACAGGGTATCAGGGAGTGGGGTTCACTGCGCAGTGTGGGAGGGTGCACAGTGCAGTTCACTGGGGCCCCAGGGTGTCTGTGCATTGTCCCCGTGAGCATTCAGGGACATCACCCCAACTTCCCATACGCCCCGGAAGTGAAAGGTGGCCCTGCATCCTTCCTGGGAGCACTCACGACTTTGGAACTGCTGATGGTGGCGGGGTGCTCAAACTCTGTGAGCACCTTCCAGGTCACATGGTTTAGGACGCGCACCTGGAAGGGAGGGGCGGTCAGATGCGGGCCTGCACGCCGGGCCACGAGTTGGGACAGGGGCACTGCCCACCTTTCCGTCGTAGCTCCCGATCGCCAGGAACTGACTGCTGGGGCTCCAGGCCACAGACTTGATGCCCAGGGACCACTCATAGGCGCAGTAGGTGGCCAGCAGCCGGCCATCCAGGGAGTAGAGCAGGATCTTGTACTGCGGGTGGGAGCTGGGTCAGGGGTGGGCACGGGAGGCACCGGGCTGGCAGGGGTGGGGGGCGGGGCCGCACTCACCTCCAGGCAGCTGTCCCACACGGCCAGCACGCAACCGTTGGGGGCCCAGGCCACGCCCGCCAGGTCCTGTGTGTCCGTTTCAAAGTGCTGGCGGGAGAGACGGGTGAGCGGGGCCACTCGCCTCCTGGGCCATGGCCCCGCCCGCTCTCCCAGTCACCGCTGGCCGGGTCGGCATCAGACACGGTGAGACCTGGGGCTGGACGCAGTCGCGGGGACTGGGCCCTGCCCAGTGCTCCACCCAGTGCCCAGCCGCAAGCACGGGCCTCACCCGCAGCAGCTGCCAGTCGCCACAGACGAACACACTCACGTAGTCCTTGCAGTCACGCCGCTCAGCCACGGCCATGTGGCGGCCGTCCAGTGTGAAGGCGATGCCTGCAGGGGACAGTGGGGCCTCATTGAGGGTTGTGGCAGGGGCGGGGCCAGGGACCTGGTGGGTGGGGAAGGGACCTGGTGGGCGGGGCCAGGGCATGAGTGGGAATACAGGGGCAGTCCTCCAACCAGCACCCTCCAGGGCCCTGTGTAGAGTAGGTCTGGGGGTTCCAGCAAATACCCGGTGGGGGGCACAGGGCCATGGAGCGGGAATACGGAGCCAGAAGGGGGAGGCCGTGGCCGCCCCTCCCATGCGCAGTGGGCTCACCCTGCTGGCAGGCCTTCGGGTACTTGATGTAGGACACGGACTTGGTGCACAGGGACCAGACTGTGATGCGGAGCTGTAGGGAGAATGGGGGCTTTGGGGGCTGTGGGAGGGCACATGGCTCCACTGTCCGGCTGTCACCGTGTTTGAGGGGTCCCCTGGGACAGGGCCCCCACAATGGGGATCCCTGGGAGAGTGCACTGCCCAGAAGGGCAGGCTGGACTGGGGGCAGCTAGGGAGGAAGGGAGGAGGGGCGGAGGTGAGCCCCAGGCCAGGCCTCCTGCATGCAGTGTCCTGAGGAAGCAGCTATAGCAGCCAGGCCAGTTGTTCGTCCCTGCTGAGCCCCCCACAAAGGTGTGGCTTCTGGGAGCAGCACAGACGCGGATTCAGTCCAGCTGGTCTGCCCATGTCCAACCTCAAATCCCTGGCCTGAGTCAGTCTCTGCCCTCCCCCTGCCCTCTGCAGGGGCTTCAGAAAGGGTTTCTCTACCATGACCACTCTCCCATTCCCAGCTGAGGGGCAGGGACGAATCCCCGCAACGTGCGTCTGTGTCTCGTGAAGGGTAGAGCTCAGACAAGCCCCTGAGGCAGCAACTCGGCTCTGAGTGCGCATCCCACCCCCGCATCGAGCGGCCTCCAGCCCCACTGGAAATGCACTGTCCTGAGGGCAATAAACGCCTGGGAAGCCTGGCGGAGGGCAGGCGATGGCACTGTTGGGAGGAGCTGGACAGACCCTGCCCCTGGCGGACAAGGAGGCTCCAAGGAGCCGGACAGTGATGCGGCTGGGAAGGGCCTGGCGAGAGCCACACCGCAGGCGCCATTCCCAGCTCTGGCCGCGGGAGAGTGCTGAGGGCAGACGGACAGACAGACTCGTGAGCCCAGGAACATGCATGCAGGCGACGACGGTCCTGCAGAGCTGCCCAGTGTCACTGGGCTGGGGATGGCAGCGCTCACCCGCCCGCACATGCCCACCCCACAGCTCTGGCCAGTCCCTCTGGACAGCGGCTGAGCGCAAGACGGGGCTCTGCCCTTACAGGATCCTCCTCACGGGAAGAAGGAGACACCGACCAAACGGGCACCCGACGGACGAGCCGCCACCGAGCATCACTTTAAAGCCTCACAACTCAGAACACAGAGATGGGAGGGGGGGAAACTGGCAGTCAAGCCCAGTCCAACCCCAGCACCACAGAGACCCGACCCCCAGCACCACCAGGAGTGACCCCTGAGCACAGAGCCAGGCCTAAGCCCTAGCACTGCCAGGTGTGTCCTCAGAACAAATCAGAAAACTGAGCATAAAGATGGTATCCCAGTGTCAGGGCCTGACCTCCTCCGACCTGCCACGAAAACCCCCGCCATGCCCCCCCCTTGCAACACCCCCCCAACCATGTCTGCGCAATCCCCTCGGGCCACACTCACGTGGAACTCGGTGGTGTTGAGGATGTGGCGCCCGTCGGGGCCCCAGCAGGAGGCCACCAGCCCCGCTGAGCCCTCGTCAATCCTGCAGTGCCACTCGGGCTGCTCCAGGGACCACACCTGCACGCAGGGGGAAGGACAGGCTTGCCAGAGGGAACGCGGGGCACAGACACCAGCAGGGCCTGTCACCACCTGCTGGGTGGGCGGCCAGCATACTTCTGGACGGCTGCTCTCTCAGCCACCCTCGCACCCGGCACTTGGAGCTCCCGCCCCGCCCCGAGGCACCTCTGTGCCAGGGTCCGGCCGGGCAGCACCCCGAGAACCAGCCCGGCGTGCGGCTCCCCTCCCCCCCGCACTTACCTGCACCAGCCCCCGCTTGTACATGGCGCAGAGCAGGAAGAGAGAGTCGGCCGACCACTCTAGGTGCTGCACCCGGTCCAGGCACGGGAACAGCCGCAGCACCTGCAGTGTGTGCACATCCCGGACCACCAGCCGGTACTGAACGCAGGATGCCTGTGCAGGAAGCACCGTGGCCGCGGGGTCAGCGGGCAGCACCCGACCTTCCTCCAGACGGGGTGAGAGTGGGCCACAGTGGGAGGAACTAGCTCTGCACACGGCCCACTGGGCTCAACCCCTGGCATCCCACCGGGTGCCTGAGCTTGCCAGTTGTGAACCCTGGGCACTGTGGTGTGGTCCCAAAGCACAAAAATGAAGCGCTGGGAGCTTCCTTCCTTCTCTCCCCAGGGAGTCCAGCCTGGGAGCAGGTCTGCAGGGAGGATGCCTGGTCCAGGCCCTCCCTTGGGCCAGAACATGGGTCTCTGCCCAGTTCCTGCTGATTCTGAGGGAACTCTGGGGACTGTCAGAAAGACCAGCCCAGGAGGAGGGGCTCGGCAGTCCAGCCTAGGGGCAGGGGGTGATGGAAAGTTCCAGAGCAGAAGCCTCCAGAGGTCTGCACTGGGCCCTCCCAGGCTCTGTCCAGCTGAAGTGGGAGTCATTTCCACTGGGCGATTCCCCCCACCCCACAGTGCTGGGGTCGAAGCAGAGCTCACGCAGTGTGGCAGAGCTAGGGGCTGGCCCGTCTACGTGGACGAAGGCGGGCCTGGGAGACTGGTCTCAGCTTCCCCAAGGCCTGTGCCAAGGAGAGAGATGGGGACTGCACAGGTGAGGCTGAGGGCACTGGCCTCCCCTTCTCTCAAAGCAGTAGGCGGCTTCCAGTTTCCATACTAGGAGGGCTTAAGTCAGGGTGCAAAAGCAAAAAGGGTCCAAATTAAGCAACAACAAATAGTGTCTCTTTCAAATATCCACTGCAGTTTCCAAATGTTATTTGAAAGTGTAAATATACATGGGGGGAGATATTTGGAAAACATCTATTGGGGTTTTTTGGCTCAGAATGACTCAAGTGCCAGAGTTCCTGCCTGCCATCACATGTCCCCCAAAGTACCCCTTAAGTTAAAAAAAACTACTCTCAGGTTTTGGGGAGATTCTAGGATAAAGCTTCGATCAATAGGCTCACCTGTCCTGCCATCACACCCTCAAAAACCAGGACCCCGACTCCACAGCGATGGCCACCAGCCGGGCATGGGGGAACCCCTCCCGACCCCACCCAGGGCCCAAGTGTCCAGCATCTCCCAGGCTCTGAACCAGGCCACTGAGCCTCCGGGGCACAGGACCGGGGTCTCTGCGCCTTCTGCCCGCTGCAGCCAGGCACAAAGGTGCAAATCCCGGCCTGGGTAAGACCCACGCCGGGCGCTCCAGCCCCCACCCGGGCCCCAGCACGCACCACGGCGGGTTCCGGCGGGCATGGAGCAGCGGATTCCGCACCGGCAGGGACGCGAAGGGGCCGGGAAAGAGCGCGGAGGGCAGCAGGCACCGGGCAGCCCGCCCGGCTGGGAACCCACAGCCACCCCTGCGGGACGGCCCGCGCGCCCCTGACCACGACGCCGGGTGCGGGGAACGGCCGCTCGAGCCCCCGCGCCCCCCTGCTCGCTCCCCCCCCGCCCCGCCTGCAACGCTGCCAGGCCCCCGCCCGCCTGCTGCGCCCCCCCACCCCGCCTGCCTCGCTGCTCGCCCGCCTACCGAGCCCCCCGCCCCCCTGTCTGCCCCTCGCCCACTGCACCGCTGCCCGCCCCCCCTGCCCGCGTCCCCCGCCCGCCTGCTGAGCCCCCTGCCCCTCGCCCGCCTGCAGCGATGCCCGCTCCCCTGCCTGCGTCCCCCGCTGCCCTGCCCGCCTCCCGCCCGCCTGCAGCGCTGCCCGGGCCAGAGCTGCCCGGGTTCCCCCGAGCCGCCCCTGCGCTCGGATCCCGGGGTCCCCGAGGCCGCTCACCAGGTACTTGCCGTCCGGAGAGAACTTGCAGAGCTGCCCCGAGACCTTGAACATCTCCGAGAAGTCCATAGCCGCGCCGCCCGCTCGGACCCGCGCCGACAGCTGCCCAGCGCCCGCGGGCTCCCGCAACCGCCAGCCGCGGCCGGAAGTGAGCGCGAAAGCGGACTCGGCCAATCAGCGGCCGGGGCGCCGCGCGGCATTGTGGGGCTTGTAGTTCACGGGCCGGCGCGGCCGCGCTTCTCACGACCCGGGATTTCCGCGCGGGCCCGCGGGGCTGCAGCTCCCGGGTTCGCTCCCGCTGCGGGTGAGCGCGGGGCTCACGCCCGCGTCCGAGCTGCGCCCAGAGCACGCTCACTTCTCTCTTTGGCTGTTGGCTCTCGGGCCGCGGGCTACTCCCGAGTCGGTGCTGGGGGGTCGCTCCCGACGGTGCTGAGGGGACCCTGCGGGGCTGGAATCGAACTTGAGTCTCGCGCACCCAAAACCTACGCTCGGCCCCTCGAACGGTTTCCCTGACCCCGGGAACGAATCGTTTCTTGTGTAATTATGTCCCCGAGAACTGCCCTGGCACCCTCGCCCTGACGCTGGAAGCAGCCGCTGGTCTGAAGTTCGATTTCTCGGGGCGTCTGCGCTGGGTTCCCGCAGCGCCACTTTGCTCCGCGCCCGCGCGCGACCCCGCGCACGCCGAGCCCGCTCACAAACGCATCTCCACACTAGAACATTCGTTATCGCTTGTGTTTGGGCTGAGCCGGGTGTGCACCCCGCTCGCCCAGGGCTCCTCGGATCGCAGAGAGAACGGGTCTGGCCTTCGGACCCTGAGCAAACGCGTGGGGAGTGGCCGGGGTGCCCCAGCGCGAGCCCCGCCGCTGCCGGGTGGGAGGCCGTCGGGCTTGGTCTCCCGGTGTCCGGTCCGCGTCCCCTCCGGGCCTCGCCCACGCGGACCCCGACTGGACCGCGCGAACCCCGGGTTATGAGAAACTGCACCCAGACAGGCTCCTCCTGGCACCTGGCGTGCCCAGCGCCCTACCGGCCGTCTGCGGCGGCCCCGTGCGTGTCCTGCGTCCTGGGTCCCCGTCCCCGCGCTGGCCACCTCCGCCCCAGTGACCGTCTCTAAGCCACTGCAGTGAACAGGTGCAAGCGGGCGCGGGGCGGAGGCCCGCCCGACCTGCCGCGGGAGACGCGGGTCCGGGTCCGGGTCCGAGAGCGGGGACGGCGCAGGGAGCTGCGCGGGAGGTCTGCAGCGGACGCCGCGCTCCCGGGCCAACGCGTGGACACCGTGCGGGATGCAGCGCGAGCCTGCCGGGCGGAGACCGACCCGGGCACGCGCGGCCCTCCCCGGGCGGCGCCTGAAGGTGGCCCCGGCCCCCCACCTCGGTCAGGGCCGCCCCTCCCGCGGGACCCCGCGCTGTCCCCCGCGGAGCCTCCGTACCCCGCCGCGCGTCTCCCGCCGCCGATCCCGAGGCCGGAGGAGAGCGCCGGCGTCGGGGAGCGGACGGCACCCGCGCGCCCCGCACCCCGGTCCCGCGCGCCCGACCCGCGCCTCCCCGCGCGCCCAGGCGGCCGGGCCGTCCCGACAGCGGGAGGCCGGCGCGGCCCGCGTCCAGCTCGGGGCAGGCGGGCCCGCAGGGCGGGCTGGCGCGGCGCGCGGCAAAGGCGGCGGGAAGGAGGCGGGGCGAGCGCCCCGGGACCCCGACTCGGCCGCGGCCAGCTGGGGGGGCGGAGCGCCGGCGGCAGCCTGGCCCGGGCCGGCCCCGCCGCCCAGATCCTCCCGCCGCCCGGCCGAGCGGCCCGCGCTGCCTTCGCGCCCGGCCGGCCGCCGCCCCCGCCCCGCGCCCCCGCCCCGCGCCCATATAACCCGCCTCGCCGCCCGCGCCCGCCGCCGTCCAGCCGCCGCGCCCCTGCCCAGCCGGGCCGTGCCCGGCCAGCGCGCGTCCCGCCTCGGCCCGACGGCAACAGGTAGGCGGCGCCGGACCCGCCGGGGGCCTCACGCCGGGCAGCGCCGCGCCGCAGCTGGCGGCGGGACACGGTCACGCGCGGGGGCTCCCCGGCCGGGAGGAGAGGGCAGGGCGGTAGCCGCCCGGTCTGCAAGAGGCGGGCACCCTGCGGGTGCGGGGTCCGGGGGCGAGGCCTCCCGGGAAGAGGGTCTTCAGGCGCGAGTGCCTGCGGACTCGGCTCCCGGCCCGCCCCTGGCGCATGGCGGCGCTGGGTGGACCCCAGGCGGTGCCCTCTCAGTGGGCCGGATAGGAGCCGGGATCTAGGGACATGCGGGGCTGTCCAGAGGCGAGTGGGGGCGGGCGGGGCCTCTCTTGGCCCTGCCAGCCTTCCGCGTGGTCCAGCTCACTGCCCCGTCGGCCTGTCCTTCTGTCTGGCTGCACACAGACGGGCACAGACTGGCATACATCTCCATGCCAGTGTCGCGGGCCTGGGCGCTAAGACTGCAAGGTTCTTTCTGCCCCCGCACTTGGGCCCTGCGCCTGCTTTCAGGGGCTGGACTTTGGAGGGCTGCTGGAGTACCTGTACCCCCCTGCCAGCGGCCCAGGCGTGCTCTGATCGGGAGTGAGTGGGGTGTGACACGGCAGTCCTTTTCCTCTGTCAGCCGGTGACAGGGACCGTGCAGGGGCTGGGGTGTCCCCCATCTGCGAGGGCCCAGGGCTCTGTACCTGCTGCGGGGGCTCCTGCGTGGGGGGGCGCCGGTCCCTGTCTGCACTTCATCAGGGTCCAGAAGGGGCTGGTGAGCTGCAGCAGACCAGAGGCGGTGACGCTGGGACCCGTCCCCCTGCTGAGATGCAGGCCCAGGGGCGATGGGCAAGGGTCGGCTGGAGAGGCTCTGAGGTCAGCGTGGTGAGACCCCCACCTTGATAAGTAGAAAAGCCCCCCTCAACAGAGCAGGAAGGGGCGACCTGCCTCCGCCCAGGACAGCGCCCCACGCACGGTCTCCCTAGTATGGGCTCTCGGAGGAGGTGCTGCCCTCCTCACAGCCAGAGTTCCCTGGTCCTCCCTGCAGACCCCCTGCAAAGGGCACAGCAGCTTCCGATGCTCTGAGTCTGCCAGGTGGTGTAGCCTGTGTGTGTGGGGGGGGGGGGACTTTGTTTTGTTTTAGTTTGGGGGCCACACCCAGCGATGCTCAGGGCTTGCTCCTGGCTCTGTACTCAGGGGTCACTCCTGGTGGTGCTCCAGTGGGAGCCCGGGAATCAAACCCGGGTCAGCCAGGTGCAAGGCCAACGCCCTCCCCACTGTCTGTCTGCCCATGGCGTGAACATGCCCTTCCCGGGTGACTCCGTGCACTGAGCAATAAGGAAACGGATGTTCCGAGCGTCAGGCCGGGCCCTGCCAGGGCTCCCCAGGCTTCCTCACCCGCAGCCCGTGTGGAGCCTGAGGAGCCGTGCGTGTCTCTGCTGTCGGTCCTGGCTGTGCCATCCCCTCCCTGTCTCTGCCTGGGTTCATGGGAGGATTGGGGAGCCCGAAGCGCTTCCCTGGGCGGACTCCAGCCGTGCCCATGGACGCTGAGGGGCGCCTGCCATGGCCAGTGTGGCTTTGGGCTATGCTGTGAGCCAGCACACACCCCAAACTCCCTGCTGAAGAAAGTGGGGGCAGGACTGGGGGCCAGTTTCTCCCTGGGGCCCACTCTGGGGGGAACTGAGTCCATGGGGACCACAGTGCCCGCCCCTGGGTGCCCCACACTCTGAGCCCTCCCCATGTCCCCCTTCTGGCTGGCCCTTCCCTCTGGACGCCCCGCCCAGGCTGACCGCCTTGCACTGGGCTGGTCTGTCTGGGCTGTTTCCAGGGAGCTCCCTGAGGCAGCCCCCCACCTTGCCTCATGGCCCCCGGGCAGTGCCCCCCTGCCTCCCTCCAGCTCAGGTGAGACACAGCTGCCCAGGGGTCCTGCCCCCGCACCAGCTGGACAATCCCCAGAGGCCAGTGCTGGGTTGGCTGGGGCGCTGGGATTCTAATTGCTCACCTGCTGCTCGAGGTGGCGTCAGGCCCTGAGGGGGGGGGGGGCGTCATCTGGGGAGACCTCGGCTAATTGAGCAGGTTGGGGGCGGGGTTGGCTTGTTCTGGGCCCTTCAGAGGAGGCTTGGAGTCTCAGTCTGTACTGAGAACCTGGGGTCCCTCCATCCTCGGGGCTCACCTGGGTGGTGCTCAGGGTACAACCCAGTCAGCCTGGCACGGCTGAGTTCCTGACCCCCATCTCCCCTCAGCAGTGGCCCCCCCCCAGATGCCCCAGGGCCCAGACAAGAGGGATTCCCCACTTAGAAGCCACTTCCGGGAGCCCAGAGCCCAAGAAACAAAAGAAGCTGCCTGAGTTTGGGTGATGCCCTAGTCGGTTCCGAATTAGGAAGCGGGTGGCTGTGATTCGGATGCAAATCAGAGAAGCCCCAGGTACTTAATGTGGCGAGCGGCAATTAGGAGCAGGGCGTGCTGTGACCTGCCCTCCTGGCGGCCCGAGGTGCGGTGACTAATTACGGGGCTGTAATGAGGGAGAAGCCGCTGCGAACAGGCCCGGTGCTTTACCGGGAAGCTGCAAATTAAAAAGCAGTGACTGGTAAACAGGACGCTAATTGGATTAATGTGAACATAATGAATTTCCATAAAAATCAACAGACATGGGGCTCAGGGTTGGGGCATGGGGACCCAGAGGCAGGACCCCCATTCTCCCCGCTGCCACGAAGGTGCCTCCATCCTCTCCCTCAGTCACGGAGAAGCCAGATGCCTCAGTCACGGGGAAGCCCCACCTGGGACGGGGCCAGGCAGGTGCTTGGGGGCCAGCGGGGACCACAGAAGTGGAGGTGACGGAGGCCAGACAGGGGGCGCCCAGGCCTGGCCCCGGCCCCCCACCTGCAGCCTCTTCTTTAAGCCAAGGGGCCCACGGAGAGATGGAGTGAAGCAGATGTGGGCAGGAGGGGTCCCAGAGACGCGTCTGCATTACAGAACCACCCGCGTGAGGTTGTGCTCTGCCCTCCAGCCTGTGGGCACCTCTCTACCCCACAGGGACCAGGCTCCTGCCTCCCGCTGCCCTCACCTTGCTGTCTTACCCTGTCCCCCCTTTCTTCCCGCCTTACCCCTCCCCTTATCCTACTCTCTCCCTGCCTCACCCCTACCCTCATCCTGCTCTCTTCTTATCTTCACCCTGATCTCTTTCCACTTCACCCCTGCTCTCACCCTGT